AAAACAATTGCCTTGAGCCCACTCCCCACCCCCGGCTCTCATCCTATTTCTCCACTCCCCTTTACAGAAAAACTCCTCCAAAATTTGAGTGTCCTCGCTGTTTCCATTTATTCTACTCCTCCATCTCTTAAGCCAATTCCAAGCTCTCATCCCCATCACTCCACTTATGCAGCTCTTTTTGAGATCACCAGTGACCTCCACGTGGCTAATTCCAGTGGCCAATCCTAAGGCTTCATGTTATTTTGGCCTGTCTGCCACATTTGACAAAACTGATTACTCCTTCCTTGGAACATGTCTTCTGTGGCCACTTAGATACCATCTCTCTTGGTTTTCCTCCTACCTCCCTTGTCATGCTTTCTCTTCTCCTCCTCACCTGCAACTCCTAAGTGTGAGACCTCTTCTCTATCTATACTCATTCCCTAGTGATCATATCCAGTCTATCCCAAATGTGTATCTCTGGCCTAGACCCTCCTTTAAAACTTAAGCATCCAGCTATCCAACACCTCTTCTTAAAGATCCAATAGGCATTTGGATTTTTTTCTGCTGAACCTTCTATACTCTTTCCCATCTCAATGAATGACAACTCTTCCCTCTAGTTGTTGAAGCTAAAATCCTTGCAGCTGTCCTTGACTCCTCTTTTTCCCTAATACCCCTCACCCAATCAATCTGTGAGCAAAATCTGTTGGCATAACCTTGGAAACACATCCAGAACACAACTTCACTCTTCTCACTACTTGAGCTTCAACCACTGTGGTCTGAGCTGCCTCCTGGATTATTGTGAGAGCTTTCCAACCAGGCTCCCTGCTTCCCCTCTGACCACGCACTCCACAGACCATTCACATCACAGGCAGCGTGAGCCTACAGATGTGGAAGTCAGGTCACACCACTCCTCTGCTCAGAGCCCTGCAGGAGTTTCTTCTCAGAGTCAAACCAAGGTCCTTGTGATGGCCCCGCAGTGCCCCATATGATCTGTCTGTCCCCACTCCCTTTGCCTCTCTGAGCCTATTTCCTCCCACGTTCCCCCTTGCTCACTCCTCTTAGCCACTCTGGCATCCTTGCCAGTCCTTGAACGTGCCAGGCATGACTTTCCCTTTGCTAGATCCCAGGTGTCTGTGTATCTTGCTCCTTTTTTTCCTTCAGATTTCTACTCAGAGTTCACCTCATCAGTGAGGCTTCCCCAACCACCCTATTTAAAATTGCAGCCCACTCTTCCTCCAGATCTGGCATTCTCTACCCTTCTTACCCTTTGTGAGTTTTCTCCATAGCTCTAATCACAATCTGACCTGTATGTTTGCTGCTTGGTGTATGTGTTTTCTGTTTCCCTGAAGCTGTAAGAAGGCAAGAACTCTGTTTTGTTCACTGGTCTCTCTTCTAGCACAGAGAGTAGTCATGACTGGCATGTAGTAGGTACTCAAAAACATATGAATGAATACATGGCCAAATTCCATGTCTATGGTATTAAATATCTTATAATTTTCTGAGATTGATGTGAGCCCCAGCAGAGCCAGCAAGTTAGGCTGCTAGATGAGGAAACTGAGGCCCAGGGGAGCTAACTGATTGCCCAAGGATGCATTACTGGTTAATGGGGTTGCTGGAACTTGTAGTTCTGACCCCAGGGCAGTTTCTGCCCCCAACCCTCAGCTACCCTCTGATGCCTTATATTATGTTAGTGAAAACTTCAGGGCATTCATTGTTGTTCACTTTTCATTGCAGTGTTGATGGAAAAACCCCCTATCTAGCTTTGGGGGCTGTGAAGAATATCTCCCTAAACATCTCCATCTCAAACCTTGGGGATGATGCCTATGATGCCAACGTGTCCTTCAATGTTTCCCGGGAGCTCTTCTTCATCAACATGTGGCAGAAGGTAAGGAAGGCACCCCTGAAAGAGAGTCTTTGTTCCATCGGGTGCATTTTCTGACTTTCATCATAGCTTGCAATGTGCAGTGATTCTGCAGAGACTGTTTTACTATGTGGGGTATCATTTGGAACTATGAAGATTTTTTCCTCCTGGACTTAGAAGGTGTGTTGGAGCAATACCCATCTCTAATATTGTCTCCCATCCTTTCTCTCTTATGGAACCCTCTCCCTACCGTTTAATGTCTGACCCCTTCTCTGAACACTCATGTGTTCTAAAGAATTCCAGTTTTATGTCAGTAGTTGTGAATAACAAGATAAGAAATGAGGACAGATCGCAGCTTATTATGCTTGTTATCACCCCTGGTGCACTTGATGTTTTCCATTAGGGGGTCACGTATGTTAGCCTGTGCTTTGACATGTTTGTTTATGATGTATTTGAGTGAATTGAGGAAATTAAATTATTTTCATGAACTGAGTGAGTTTTTTTAGCATGAATTCATGTATTTGAGTTTAAGTAGAATGACTCTGAAAGGAAAAAGGAGTTGGTATTCTCTCCTGTCCCGTAATTCAACTCAACAAACCATCTATGGGAAGAAAAAAAGAATGAGTCTCCAGCAGGCAACAGGAATGAGTGGGCTCAGACAGACCTCACCCTCCCCGGTGGTTGTTCTGACTCTTGACAGCAGTTTTGAAGGCAATTCTTGCAGCTTTTCAAAGTGTTTACAACACAGAACTGCAGTGCCTTGATGTCTGTGTTAAAGGGAACTAAGATCACTTTCTGAGGAACAGCTCTGCTCTGCCCACAGATGAGCACTTGGTGCACCTTCAAGCCAGTGGGCAAACTTCTGTTCAGACACAGATCCTGGCAAGCTCAACAGTTTTGATAGGATTATACCAACCTTGCCCAGCTTAGGGGGCAAGTGAAGCCTATAGAGCGATCTGTAATGGTCATGCTCCAAGAACTTTACAAGAGGTTATCTCAAACTCTGCTGCTTAATAGCTTTTAGGAGCCCCAGGGTTGGGGAGGCCACAAAAGCAATCAAGAAGGACTGTGAGAAAGGCATGCTTCCCATCTGTCTTCTACACCCTAAAAATTGTCCTGGTTTAAGCCCAGTCAGGAGAGAACCAAGTATCTACAAGGTCCTAGTATCTCTGGCTCCACATAGAATCTCTTTTACAGAATTTCCTGTGCCATGATGCCATCTTCCTGTAGGGGGTGGCAGGAAAGGGGCTCACTCAGGACAGATCTGTAAAACTCATCTCTGTGGTAACTGAAAGGATGGGGTTGGCGACTGGGCCATTACGTTGCAGATTCCTCTCACTTAGGACCTATGGGAGAAATTTCTCTCCGGTCTCGAAATTAGGAATAGCTGTGCTTTCCCTGAGTACTTTGGCTTATTTTTATCTGTAGGCACAGTCATCCCTTATGAATAGGCTTTGCTCTCTCTCTTGTCTGCTAGAAAGTTCTGAGCTGGCTCCACTCTGTTGGTATATAGGATTTGGTGGTAGTATTTCACAAACTGTGTAGGTTCCTATGTATTACTCTATTTCCCTTCATCATAGTTTTCTTTTTAGCTTGGAGGCTGCATAATAGTCTATCATAAAGTATACAATGGATTACCCTCAAATTCTTATTATGTAGATATTTCATTCCAGTTTTATTCTCTTTAATACTGTGATGAATGAGGGCGCGTAGGTGACTCAGTCCGTTAAGTGTCCACAACTTTTGGTTTCAGCTCAGGTCATGATCTCAGAGTCCTAGGATCAAGCCCCACATCAGGCTCCCTGCTCAGCAAGGAGTCTGCTTGTCTCCCTCTCCTTCTGCCTCTTCCTCTGCTCATGTTCTCTCTCTTGCTCTCTCTCTCTCTTAAATAAATAAATCTAAAAAAAATACTGTGATGAATGTTTTTCACAGAGATTGCTATGAACAAATGATTATATTTTTAGTCTTGTAACTATTTGGGGGATGTAATGTAGCATTTGTTGACCACCTACTATATACCAGGGGTTTTACATACATTTCCCATTCCCTCCTGCATGTGACCTGGGTGCATCTGCCATAGTGGAGAATGCTGTAGGGAAGAAGTGAGGGAAGTAGGATTAGGCAGGGAAAAGGCTAAGGGTGTGCCATCATAAAAGGTAGCCTTGGTCTGAGTAATAGGGTGGAAAGAGGTGGAGGGATGCCCAAGAGCATAGCAGAATTGTCTCCTCTTTAAGTGGCAGGAGAGCATCACTTCCACCCCTGTATCATATTGAGCACCTTGAGGTGTAGTAAGTAGCCCCCCCAGGCATTCTGGATGAGGGGCTCTAGCCAGGTGAGGACAGTGTGCCTGAGAAGACCACAGATATGTCATTAGCTACTATAGCTGATCATTTTCATCTCTTTTCCATTGAATCCCAGCATATTTTGGCACAGGGAGCCCTAGTTTCAATTTTTCAGAAAGTTGACAAGGTATCAGGGACTCTTTGGGATGTGGGAAGCTTTAGTGTGAGAAAGGTAGCAGGGCACAGAGACATCCCGTAGCTCCCGTAGCCACCACGGGGGCAGGACCAACTAGAAAAACAATTAGGCAAAATGACCATCAATGTGGCAAGAGAAGGTAAAGAAACAAAAAGTCCTCTCCCGTGACCACAACCACAACTCTAACGGGAGATGTAAATGGCATCACTCAGCCCAGAGCAAGATTCTCACAGCAACCAGATGGGCGGTAAAGAGGAACCAGGAGAGCCCACTCACCCTGCACAGACCTAACAAAAACAACATGGACTCTACAAAAAGATTCTAACACATAAACTAAGAAAAGTGCAATTCAGGATACAGAAGGAAAGCATACCTTTTAGAAGGATTATTAATAGAAAACAAAAGTAAATTTTATTCTAGCATCCACTTTTCTTGATTAAATTCAAGAAAAAAAAATGAGCACAGCAAAAGATCAGATAGTAGAACGATAAGCTGGGATGAAAAAGGAATGAACTGAGAGGCAAACAAATATAAAGGTTGTAGATAGGGTAAGGAAATATAATGAAACCAAGAAAGCAATGGCAGATTAAAATGTGTTATAATCAGGAAAGAGCAGAATTAGCAGTATGGAAAATTGATTCATTGTTATACCTGGCATATTTGAGATGGTCTCTGAAAATTCAGAGAAAAAGAACAAAACAATGAAGAAGAATGACAGAACTATAGATGTGGAAAGTGGAGACCGGAGAAATCAGCAAAGAAAAGTGGCTCCATAATAGTTAGAAGACATGAGTAGACAGCAAGGAAGGATCTCCATTCTCTTGATTGAGCTCTGCAAACACCAGGCAGAAATATTGAGAGCACTTCACTGTCAACACACAGCTTCATGAGATTTTGAATTTGAAAAATATGAAAGTGATGATACTGATACCTAACAGAAAACAAACAAACCAGTGTTCCGTAGGCTTCTTTTCTGTAACAGTATTAAAAAATCAGAATAGGCTCTCTGGTGAATTAAGAATTCTATACCCAGCCAACTTGCCCTCCATTGTGAAGACAAAATAAAGACATCCTTGAATATATGAGAAATCATAGCGTTTGTTAACTGCCCAGTTTGGATTTCCCCAAAAGCAGACCCCAACACAATGATGTAGGTACAGCTGTTTATTTGGGGAGTGATCTCAGGAGGCACTTTGTGGGAGTGGTGAGTTTAGACAGGGAAGGGAAGAAAGACAGGACAGTGTGCCCTGATAAGCTGTGGGGAACTCGTGCTCTGTCCAGCTGCAGATCTTCAGAGAGATAGACTCTGTGGAGCACCCCTCAGAATCACTCCCAGGGGTAAGGAAGCTGCTAGCAGATTTCTCCACCACCTCTTACCACACATCCACGGAGAATCACTCCAAAGGCATTCACTCCCTAGCACTTCCAGCCTTCTCTGGCTATGGGCCACCCTGCCTGGGGTGAGCAAACAACTCCGGCAGTGAGAAGTTGGAAGCCTTTGGCCTGGAGGGCGCTGGCCTCAGGTGACCAACCCTCTGGTGGGTTCTAGGGAATGGGAGCAAGGCAACATCTGCTTCAGTGACTGTTAAAGCTTTAATAAGCATGAAACTGTTCCTGAGAAATAGGACACCTACAGATAAAGCACTCTGGAATACAGTCGTGGAATAAAATGTTAAGGCCAAATAAACGTAGACATAAGCAAAAATAAATTTTGCAAGCATTTAAAATAGTAAGCACATGTAAAAAAAAATGATTGCCACAGTAAATATATAATTTTAAAACTTAATTTAAAAAAATAAGCTTATAATATCAGTTATACCATAAAAATTTGAGAAGAAACTTAATCTCATCACTCTTCCTGCCTCACATTCTTCAGAATGGAGTTTGGACTCCTCAGCTGTTCCCTGAGAGGCCATTCTGAGCCCATGCTTCCTGCCCTCCCTCTTCCCTAGCCTCATTGCTCACCACCCCCACCCCCACCCCCCACACACACACACACACTTGAATCCAGCTATAATCCAGTCCTGGCATCCCCTCCACCCCCATTTTCTTTAATCAACCTCTCTGCCCTCAGATCTCAGCTCAGATGCCTCACCTGGCTGCCCAGGTGGTGTGGGTGGGAGGGTGGGGGGCTATCTGTCTGTCCAAAGCCTCAAGGCAGCTCAGGGCCTAGGCCTCCAAGGTCTCCAGTCTCCTGTGTCATCACACAGTTCGAGATGTATTCATTTCTGAGACTGAACAAAACATCTCCCTGAAGATGGACTTGTGGGGCCTCTCTAACATAAAGCTGCTTTCATAGATTTATGCCGGTTCTTTCCTGTAAGGGAAGGCTGCTTATAAAAAATGTGGGATGCACATGGACAACCATCTGCTGACTTTCCTCTCACCTCCATAAGCTAACTTGAAAACACTATAAAATAGGACTTAATGCGTTGGTGGCCACCGGCTGGTTGGCTGGTGGGCTGGCTGGGGCACAGCATAATGTGGTCATAGAGTGGCCTCCCGTGGAGCAGTGTGTGGGATCCCTTAGGGGTGGGGGAGGGGCA